GTTTCTTCGCTATTTTTTTGTTTGAAAAAGTCAATATGTTATAGAAAATTTCTTCGCTCAAAAACAACTGAAAACACTCAACTTCAGTCAAAACTTCCACCACGGGATCGAACTTGCTTGTTCTTTCTGCACTAACTACCTTCTTCCTTGTCTTTCTCTGGGGGTGCGGGTCCTTCAACAAGCCATTCGTAATCGCCTACAATAGCTTTCTCGGCCATTGGAATGTTTTTCCAATTGGATTAAAAAAGTTTCTATAAAATCAATAATCAATAATTATAATTATAATAATTGATTTGAAAAACAGTTCATTGTTTTCCAAAAGGGAGTAACTTGTACTTAAAATTTTATTACGAGTAAAATAACCTCAATAACGTTCTGCACATAGCAACTTTTGCCATCACCAACAAAATCTATTGTCTGAATTTTTATTGTTTTTCAAAAAATCCATGTTTTCGCTTCTTGCTTTTGACTGAAATAACGGGAGAGTGGAAATATAATAACACACACAAAACTCGAAACCCCACATTACCAAGTTTCCTGTCCAAAATATTAAATATAGCACAAAAACTAACCCAAAAAGTTCAGAATTACAAGTTTTGTTGCCTATGGATTTTTAGTTTTAAAAATCACTGTTTTTGAGCAAGAAAACCAAGACGACTTGTCATAATTTTATGAACTTATTGCTCGTTTTTTTACACTTTTTGTTGTAATGTCCCGATAAAATGTATCATCATGTCGGTAAATAAACATAAACTTGGGCCATAAAGTCCGACACGTTAAAACAGTATTTTTTTCTTTTGTTTTTCGGGATATTAATATATTTTGTCGAAATTTATACCTGTTTTACTTATCATTATTTTACCTTATTTCGATTTTTTGCGTCTTATTTTTTGATTTTTAATTTTTTACTTACACTACAATTTCCTTATTTCAAAATCATGAAATATTTTGGTTTATAAAACACGAAAAATTAATTTCATACCCAAATTTTATACAAAAATCGCAAATTTAATCAATATTATAACATTTAAAAAAATGAAAATAAAATTATTTTTTTCAATTTGTTGATTTTTACGATAACAACGAAAAACACGACTTAATTATAATTTTATTATTAAATGAAACTAAAAAGTGTATCAAAATTTTATATGGAAACACATGAAATTAATTAAAACACCACATGTAACAAAAAATTTTTATTTTCGTTATGTTGAAAATAGTAAAATAATAATTATAAAAATGTAAATATATAATAATTGATTAATTTTGTTTTTATAGATGAAATATAGGTGATTCGAAATATTAATTGGAATAAAAAATACTTTTTTATAATATAATAAAAATTAACAATTATCACTTGTTTTTATTTGACTTTTATAATATTTAATCATTTCATTATTAATCTATTATAGAATTTGTTTAGTAATAATATAAAAAGACAAAGCAAATTACATTATAGTTTCATGACAGAAATATATAACAATAATGACAGTTGTAAATGGAACACTTTTATCAATTATTGTGATTATATTAAAGTGTATTATAATTATAGTTTTGTTAACAACAATTATGATCAAAATTCATATTTTTGTTAATGCTAAAAAACTATTTTTACTAATCAAAACAAAGTAGTTACTTTATTTATAATTTGTGAAAACAATGAATGTTTTAATGAACGTTTTTGTGGGATGAACAAAAAAATAATTGAAGAAAAAACACATCAAAAATAATATAAAAATTATAAATGCTCATAACATTTAGCTCATTTCCCGTTTTTCTCGACACAATTCATTAATTATTTCAATAAAAATTTAAAAAAATAGCAGAAAAACAAATCCGAAAGTCCGATACGTCGGACTTTGTGTCCGGAGTTTACTTCAAATTCGTGTTAGACTCTAAAAAGAAAAAAAATGTATTTACTGAAATATAACTTAATGTGCCAATATAAAGTTGGCTTGACAAGAAGCTTCTGAAATGGCAGATCATAAAAAAGAAAAAATTACTGATTTTTGAATAAAATGCCAAATTTATGGAGTGTGAATAAATAACTAGACTCAATTTTAACCTTAGATAAAGGGCGAAACTGTTATACCTTTTTAAAATAAAAATGATATAATAAATTAACTTATAAATTTTAATGATATTTAGCTTAAATTATTTAAAACTATATAATCATATCGTTTGGGTTTTATAAATATGAATTTTAATTTATTTTAATAAATTGGATAAAATCGTTGAATTGGTAATTAAAAATGAATGAAGATCAATTTATTTCATTGATTGTCACTCAAGAAAAATTTGAGTGTATCTTCTAAATCGACTTTACCATCTCCATCACTATCCATTGCCGCCAAAGCCGTCTTCAATTCTTCTTCATTTAATTCAGTTTTCAAGACTCTCATGAATCTGGCCAATTCATTAATTTCAAGGGTTCCACTATTATCATCATCAATTAAATGGAAAGAAGGGTATATAACGATCTATCAGATTTTTCCTCAACTTCATCAAGGTTAGTCATTACACGGAAAAACTCATTCGAGGTCAAAAACCCTTTTACTTCTATGTTTGCCATGTCAAACACCATTTTTAAGTGTTCATCATCAACTTTTTCATCTTTGTTATCTTTAAATGCATTTAAAAACTCGTTGTAGTTGATGAGACCATTGTGATCAGTATCAAGTTCTTCAAACTCTTCAGCGAGACTCATTTGATGATTATTAGTTATCATTTCTGTATTTAGATTAGTTTATGATATATTACACAATGTGTAATTTTTAAATAAATAACCAATTAAATATGTTAAGAATACAGTGAAAATACGTCTGAAAATGATGGGAAAATAGTTTAAAAATGACAGGTTTTATTTTAAAAGGACAAGATTTTTAATAAAAAGGATGAAAATCATAAAAAATGATGGAGAATTGTTTTAAAAAGGACAGGTATTTTTATTGAAAAGGACAGGATTTTTGATAAAAAGGACGAATTTCGAAAGAAATGATGATTTTCATGAAAAAGGACAGGAATTTATTATAAAAAGGATGGAATTTTTGTTAAAAGGATGGATTTAAAGAAAATGTGACAGCCATTTTTTTGAAAAAGGATAACATTTTTAACAAAAAGGATGGATTTTTTAATAAAATATAATTTATTTCCGAAATTTCCCGATTTTACACATAAAAAACAAACAATTTGAAATTACAAATCTTTTCTTTCATATGCTTTTGCCCAAATTTCATTGCGACATCTCTCCATAGACGCTATTACTTCAGCTGGTTGAATTGAAATAAATCCATTTTTTATTTTTTCAAGAAGATCGCCAAGGCCAGTCCAAATACGTATGTCATTTTCTACACGCCTTTTCCAAAACCCAAATACAGTTTCGATTGGGTTGAGTTCAGGACTGTAAGCTGCATTATAAACAATTGAATGATGAGTGTTGGTTACAAGTTCCCTCAAATGGTTGTGTATAGTACAATTGTCACACCAAAACACTGCTGAAATGTTGTTGTCGTCATAGTGTTTCATCAATTCCATAAAATATCTTTTGAAGACCTCTTCATCACTTTTTCCTGCAACCAAAAAAGTTGTTCCCATTCCTGTGTAGTCTATTGAACACAAAGCAGATAGTCTTTGTCCGTTTTTTGCCTTTGTCACGAAAAGTTTTTCACCAATTGGACTCCATCCGTAAACCGCAGTGCAAGCAATACGCCACGAGGATTCATCAATGCAAACCCATGTTTTTCCTGAGTGCATCTGACCAACCAATTCTTCAATCGCGGCGATTCTTTTCTCTTTGTTTTCGTTAGTGTTTGCAACTGCGCCTCGTGGAGTTTCCCTTTTGAAACTTAAAACAGGAAGAGTTCTGTCCTCATCTATACCAGTTTTTCCTTTCATGAAGTTTCTAATCGCGCTTATTGAAGGAATCATTTTGTCGATTGTATCCAATGCTTCTTGTGATATTTGAGTTGGAGAATTGTTATTATACCCAAGTTCAAATTGTTCTTGTGTAATTTCTGTGACTTCTTCGACTGTTGTAACATTGGCATTTGCCAACACTTTTTGGATGTTTGATCGGATACAATTGACGGAAGATGTTGAGTCTTTTTCAATCAATTTCTTTACCAAATGCTGAAAAGGAATTACTCTGCTTTTTTTCTTGTAATGGTCTTTTGGTAAAATTGAATTACCATTTCTTAATTTGACTAACATATTTTTGACAGCCTTGATTTTAATACCAAGTTCTCCACTATAAAACACATCGTCTTTAGTGTCCCCATAAACTCTGAAAAGTTTAATCATATCAAATTTGTTTTGTATTGTTACTTTGTGATAGGGTCTTTTGGCTTGGTTTATTGATTCTGACCGAGTTTTGGGTCTTCCCCTTTTTCTTTTAATAGCTCGGGGAAGAATGAAAGGTGTTTTAGATTCAACCTGGCGCTGTTGTTCATTCCATTGGATAAGTGGTGGATTATCTATAAAATCGTTCCTAGCTATTGGGTCTCTGGCGTCGATGAATGTTAAAGACTGAGACATTTAAATCAATTATTAAGATTGATCTCAAAATAATGAAAATCCTTTTTCAACCAACTCGATATTTGATTTGTACATCTACTTTTGAAACACGTTTATGATATTTTAAATTGTTTGTTTTTTATGTGTAAAATCGGGAAATTTCGGAAATAAATTATATTTTATTAAAAAATCCATCCTTTTTGTTAAAAATGTTATCCTTTTTCAAAAAAATGGCTGTCACATTTTCTTTAAATCCATCCTTTTAACAAAAATTCCATCCTTTTTATAATAAATTCCTGTCCTTTTTCATGAAAATCATCATTTCTTTCGAAATTCGTCCTTTTTATCAAAAATCCTGTCCTTTTCAATAAAAATACCTGTCCTTTTTAAAACAATTCTCCATCATTTTTTATGATTTTCATCCTTTTTATTAAAAATCTTGTCCTTTTAAAATAAAACCTGTCATTTTTAAACTATTTTCCCATCATTTTCAGACGTATTTTCACTGTAATATAATCATGAAAATTAATAGTTGTTCTTGTTTTATTAAATTGTGTTTGCATTTAAATTGTTTATACAAACACAAAATAGGTGTATTGAATGTTATTTTTAATTTATAATGAAACGAATATTTTTAAAAACATTGATTTTAAAATAAATGTAATATTTGTGTTTATTTATTTTTTCATTTGCATTTTTTGATTTAAATAACCTATATGTAATCAATGTGAATTTAAATGTGTAATCAAATAAGTTTGTTATTTTGTTAATTGATTTTCAAAAACAGTTATATTAATAATTTTATCGTTGTTTTATTTATCGATCTATTATATCCAAAAATTTATACATGAATAAAAAATATAAAATAGTCAAAATTAAACACACAATGAATTTGACAAATAATATTTCATAATTTTTAATTTAAAACTTATAAATTATAACAAATCGAAATATAATTGTGATATCTGAAAATATTTTTCCATTGTTGGCATAATTGGTAATAATTATTTTAACATTACTTAAACTAAAAACTGTTTTAATCATTCTTACTACTTTCGTATTCTTTTACATTTTCTGAAGCCTCCAAACAATATTCCAAACCAGCATCTATATACTTAATTATCTTGTAAGCGATAAAATCACAAATTTGTTTTTGTATATTTTCACCATAGTCATCAATGACAGTTTGAATACAATGAGCAACATTTTTTTTAACCTTTGGAGCAATGAATGCTATTAAATTGTGAGTATATTTATCGGGATTTTCTTTGGCGTACGTTTCAAGCCAAACACCAAACTTTTCACAAACTTGAGGTGCATTTTTAACATTAAATCTGTCGATTGTTTCACTAATAAAATTCTCTAATTTGTTTGCCAATATTATGGAAGATACTTTGAAAGTTTGTTTAATCCCCTCTTTCAGTCCTTCTTTTAAAGATTCGGTGATTTTGTCTTTAAATTCGCCTTGTTCTTTGACATAGGCTTTTGCAATTACAGTAGCTGTTTTTACAACACCACTTGTAGCACCAAGAGTAATGGATGCAATCGATATTCCTTTGCTTAATACTTCAGAAGTTTTTTTATACCCAATTATATCCAAAAAGGGTGGTAAAAAAGAAAAAACAGCAATCACCGAATTGGCCAGATCGATTTTCTTTGCCAAATCGTCTCCATTATCAGCAATTTTTTCCATTTGTAGTTTATTGTTAATTTTTTATTTTATATTGCTCTATTAAATGATTTTAAAAACGTATTTAATTATGCAACTTTTTAATTTAATAAAAATCATTTAAATTGACTTTTATTGGAACATTTTTCGGTGATTTTATCAACACTACTTTAGTTAAAAACATTTTTATCATGTAATCCATTTGTTATAAAAAACATTAATGATGTAGATACAATTACTAAAAATATTTATTCAAGTAATGTTATTGTGATTAAATATCATTTTTGTGAAATAATTCACTGTTAACCATTGCTTTTTTATCTATTTGTAAAAAGTGGTTGTCAAAGGGATAGAAATATTAAAAAATAGATAAAAAAAATAGAAAACCCACTTAAAACTTTTATTTATCTTAAAAATCAAAATTAACTGTACCTTGTTTTCACGATATATAATTAACTAATGTCAGGGTTACGCTATTTATTAATAAAAGTATAAGTGATATGTAAATTAAACATTTAATAATTATAATAATCAAATTTGTTTCTTTATAATGTTAAAATTGAAAAACTAATTATAAATAAAATCATTAACAAACTCTTTGTATAATCACGTCTAATAACAAATGTGATATTTCGTAATTAAAGGTGTTGTTGTGTCTGAATTAACCAAACAATAAGTCCTAATTATTGTTATTGTTATTTCTATATCTTCAGTTGTTGTTGATTTTATTAAAACACGCGTATACATTTACTTGATTGTGTTTTTTGAATTCATAACATTTTCTATTGTTAATATTTTAAAAGGTTAATAATATTAACATTTGTTTAATATTTAAAATTTTATTATTAAACAAATTTTAATAACAAATAACTACTAACTATTATTAGTAGTTATTTATTATTCCATTATATAACTGACTTCTTAAACACATTGAAAGTATTTAAAAAATATGAAAAAAACATTTTTTGTTATAAATAACATTTTTAATACAATTACTTTTTCTTTGACAACCAATAATTCTTACATTTGTAACGTATACAGTTGGGCAAACAAACCTTCGCCCAATAAATGAACATTAGCTTTAAGAAAAATAATTATTTTCTATTGTTATATTAAACTAATAAATTTACATATACAAAAGTCTATTTTTTAAAATATTTGTTTTTTAATTAAAACCCCGTGTTTTTAAAGAAAATAATATATACATTTGCTAAGCTAAAGTACATTTCCCCGACTGTATTTGTTATTAATAACATTTATTTATTATGTTTCAAAAAAAAACTCAAAATAAATAAAAAATATAAACAAAGTTCTTATGGCTATTTAAATGTGCCCAATCAATGTTAGTATCAAACAAGTTGATTTTCAAAATAAAACTTCCATAAAAAACATTTAACTTTTCAAAAACAATCAAATATTAAAAAGCAAAGAATGATACTAAACGCAAATAATAAAATTAAAACGGATTTGCTATTTTTCTCTCTTAAATACTATTTATGTTAGTATTTGTTTGAACACTTGAAACGAAATGTAATGTATAACAAATTTTAAATAAATAGTAAATAAAAAATATAATTATATAATTTGTTATATAAATGATTTTGTATAATAATTTTTATTCGTTGTTATTTTTACCCTTATATTTATTTATATCTAATATATTTTTATTAATATTTGTATATATACTATTTAATATAGTTTATATTTTTTAAGATTGAATGGATAAATCCAAAAATTGTTTTGATTTTCTATATTTTCTATTTTTATAATAATTTCAAATTTAGTCTTGAAATCCCTTTAAAGTCTACCAATTTCAATAATTGTTTAAGTTAATCTTATTATTTCAGTTTTTTATTGGTATTTTGTATATTACATTAACTTTATTTTTAAAACAATTATTTAAAACAATCCAAATCCAAAAAACAACTTCACATATAAAAACCACTTTTGAACTTTGAAAACCACAATAAAATGTTTCTTATATTTATATGTCCTTTATTGGTATTTTCTCAGTGTTCGGAGACGTATTGTGAATATGCTGCTGGTATTGGTGAAATGCGAACGGAGACTATAACCAAACCCAAAGCAGTTGAATTTTTTAATAAATTTAATGAGTACCTTCAAGCTTATGCTTTTAGAGATATTGCCAAACAACCTCCACAGCCTCCAGAAAACAGCACTTATTATCAAAAATATGATATGGACTTGTTTGCTGATGAAATAAAAAAGTATTTAGACGAACAAGGAGAGAATGTTGTCTTCCATGACCTCTTTGTGAAAATGGTCAACATGATTGGAGGACCAAGAGACCTCCACTTAAGTCTCAGTCCAAACAATTTTGATCATAAGGTCTGCAGTTTCTATGTTGTTAACATGGCGACTTTCATATTTGAGAATGGGAAAGTCTTTGCGCGTGTCCCCGCCCAAATATTCAACACAAGTCCAGTCAAAATTTACGGAGCAGATAAGGTAAAGACCGTGTACAACAAATTTAACGTTCCAGTCATTTCAATTAACGGTATTGACCCAACCAAATTTATTGCAGACTACGCTTATAAGTACTTTTTACTCAAAAATGTGAATGGTGCTGTGACTTACTTCATTCGTTCATTTACTGGTTGCCCTTATTACTCAGTTCCTATTAAAGCGGAAGACACTGATTTTGTTATCCAGTTTGAGGATGGCAGTAACGCAACGTGGAGTACTAAATTATGGAACATACGGTCTGAAAGTGCTGCTATTAGTGAAAGCGAACTTTTTGCTCGTAAATTTTTGGAAAGGAAAATAAAGGAAAACACAAGAAGAAGTGAAAGAAATTACAGAGAAGGTATTTTAGAAGGAAAAATTGATATAATAAGTCCCGAATTATTTGATAAAATGGACGAAAGAATCGAAAATAAAATGAACGAGTTTATGGGAAGAAAATTAAAAAGAAATAACAAACCAATTCCTCTATTTTTAGAACCTCCATTAATAAAACAAAATGCTAAAAATTCAAATTTAAATGATGAAATGTCATATCCAGAAAATCAACAAGACATTATTTCCCAAAATGAATATAAAGTTTTAACGAGAAACTCAAAGGAATTCAATAAACTGTCTTCTCAAATTGATGCCAAAATAGACCTACTTTTTACCACTAAAAAGCATACTCTTCCAGTAAAAAGTGAAGGTTTATTTAATTATACATTAGACGGTGTTCTTGCGTGTGGGCAACGTGTGTTCTTTGATATTCGTTACAACTTCTTAGAAGTTTCGAGTTTCTCATCCGAACAATTGACCGACTTTTTGGCATATGCAGCTGAATGTGGAGAGATATTTAACTCCAACACCGACCCAATAGTTATAGTTCTTCCACGTAATGGCGGCGGTTTTGTTGATGCTGAAGACTTTTTATATAAAATTATTTCTCCATCGACAAACTATGAGAAAGCAAATGTTGCTCGAATCAGTGAAAGTTCAGAGAAAGTCCTTAGAAATGGATTTGGAGCACTTATAGAAGATCCCGTGACACATATTAGAAGAGTTCCAAGAAGTAACTCGTATTACGATGGTGACCTTGGAGACTTCTATAATAAACCTGACTCTGAATTTTATGGAGAAAACAAAGAAGTTGAGTTTAAACACATTCAGAAGTCTCATTTGATTGAAAACACTCGAGACTTCCCAACAGTGAATGCGAGAAAGAAAAATCAAATTGTCGTCTTTTCAGACCATTTTTGCTTCTCCGCGTGTTCGCTGTTTACTTATCACTTTAGTGAGAAGAAATCTGCAATCACCGCAACATATAGTGGACTACCAGACTCAACATTCAGAAATCTTGGAGAGAGTCCAACTGCTGTTATTCAAGACGATTATATTCATGACGGCTTGGAAACAGTTGTGAAGGATATGGGATTTAAGATGGGCATATCATATTTACCAACTTTGCCGTTGAATGAAAGTGATTTGGTGCCAAATGAGTATAAAGTGCACCAACCTATGGAGCACACAAACATACAGTTTTACTATGGAGACGAACAATCAGTCGATGAGTTCTTAGAAGTAGCAGAGGCGTACATTGAAAAGTACAAAAATTGGTGTGAGACCGGAGAATTAAAAGAAGATATAAAATGCAGTGAAAACAACGCTTCGGAAGTGTGGGGAAGACTGTGTGAAAATGAGTATTTTAATATGGACAAATGTGTATTTGTGAGATGTGCTGATAAATACTTCTATAACAATGAAACGAAGGCGTGTCAAATTGTTGAATGCGAAGAAGGACAAAATATTACTTACAATTCGAAGTGTACTCAAAACAGTGACAGTGAAATGTGGGGATCACCTTGTATTAATAATGTGCTGGACTCAAATAATTGCTCTTTTATGGAATGCAAAACCGGGTATCTTCGTGACGAAATAAAGAATATGTGTTATAAAAAAGAGTGTGAGGACTCAACCCAAATTGTTGAAAACATCAAATGCCCACAGGCGAGTATCAGTGAGTTGTGGGGAATCAAATGCATAAATGGCCGATATAACACTGAAAATTGTGAGTTTATGTCGTGTAAAAGTGGATATATGTACGATGATATAAAGAAGACATGTGTCGTACAATCCTCTTCGTGTAAAGATGGAGAAATCAGAATAGATCAAATGTGCAAGGAAACTTCTGAAAAGGAATTTTGGGCCGCCAAATGTGTTAATGGGAAGTACGATAATACAAATTGCGTGTTCTATGATTGTACACCGGGATATGAGTTAAATTCTGACAAAGAGTGTGTCAAGAAAACGGTGTGTAACGAAGGTGCAATTTTACCAACTAAATTATGTAAAGATGCAAAAGATGGTGAAATTTGGGCTGCAAAATGTATTAATGGAAGTTTCAATTATACCAACTGCGAGTTTGCCCAATGTGATGATGGTTATACTTTGAGTGATGACACAAACAAAAGATGTGTCAAAAACGGGGAAAATACAGACAGTGCAACCATTTTATGTGTGGTTACTTTAACACTTCTGATGGTTATATTGGTGTAAGAAATGACTTGTTATTGTTTGGTGTTATATTCCAATGTTTTAACAATATTTGAATATTTTAAGATTTACATCAATGTTATTATGAACTATAATAATATAATAACAATTTTTAATATCGTTATTATAAATTAAACTAAAAATACCAAATTTTAAACATGAAAACTATTTTCATTCAAACTCAATTTGTTGTGTAATTATAAGTTTATTTTTTGACCTCTAGAAATTATTTATTTGTTGTTGTGTTTTGTTTATTTGATCAATGGTTTTTGATTTTTTTAAATATTTTCATAATATTTAACATCAACAAAAATGTTTTGTCAAGTCAGCACAACTTTCCATTTGTTTTAATTATTCAATGTTACAAAAATATTGTTCATATTTATGCAATAATTAATTGGTCATTGAAATTCATTCTTGACGTAATTGGTCAAAAGTTATAACAATTAATAATAAAGTAACCTTTTGATATTATATTTAAACCAACTTTATACAATCAAATTCAATTCTTATGTTATTCATTGCTTTGCTCATTGCTTTAAGTTTTGCCGATTTGGGCGTTATTGATATGTCATACTGCGAAGACAAAACAGTCAATGTTGATTTTAATGTTACAACAGTTTCATATGAAAAGCCAGCTGAAAGAGAGATAACACATTATATTATAAACTTTGATATATATCAACTTCACGAGGATGTAATTCTTACTTGGCGCGTCGAATACTATTGGGGAACTCTTTTCGTTGCTTCATATAAATATGACGATCAATTGATATGTGAAACTATTGAAGGTGGGTGTAAGACAACAGGACCAAAACACTTTAAAGCAGATGGTAAAGTCTCTGAGTCTGTTACACTCCCCGGATGGTATTTACTTGTTTTAGAAATGACAGATCATAAATTGTTCCACAATTGTTTCCATGGTTGGGTCTATCTCTACTAAGTTATATTAATTTTCTCATTTTTATTTTATTACATATAAATAAATAAGTTTATGATAAACAATAATATCAAAAACAAGAATTAAACAAATTAAAACTGAACCACTTATGTTGCTTTACTAATTCAAAACATTTTAAACGATAAAAATATAACCAACAACATTAATTTACACTCAAATTTAAATAATAAAACAAAATATCAAAAATCGTTTATTTGAGACTTTCTAATTTGGAAGCAACACAAATCCATTGTCTCCAAATTTTGCCGAACACAAAAATAGTGATACAGTTAAAGCTATAAAACAGAAGAGTATAACCAATTCACAAAGTAATTCCCCACACATGGTTAATATGGCTCCAAGTTCTCCAAGTGGATCTGTATCTTCTCCAAGCTTACACTGATCACACCATGTGTATTTTCCGTCTTGATTTATCAGTTGTTGGCATTGGCATACTTTGTATTTTCCTTCGTCGTCTGTATGGGAATCGATGCAACAGTTGTGCTGATTGTCATTTAATGTTGTTATTACAATACTATTCAGATGTTATAATAATTTTGATGTTAATTTTAATTGTTACACCAACAAAAAAATATTCTGTGATATTCACACACTTTTTGGATTACTTTCAAATATAATTATATAATTACTATAACAATTAAACTTCATATAATTTCGCAGTGCATAAAATTAAATAGAAAATATAACAAACTTCTTTTTCAAAGGCTCTTTCATCCTCAATGATATAATCGGGGTATTTTTAACTACACATGCATATGTAAAGGATAACAGTCAGTACAAATACCATAGATGAAAGTCCAGTAAAAACAAGTCCTGTCGCTTTCCTCCCACCATTGACAAACATTTTGATGACAAAAGCGACGACAACCAAACCCATAACAACACATGTCGTTGTTAACACAAATAAATACCGTGCAGATCCAATGTTTTCATTTCGTGAAGTACCGTATGTTTCTTTGCCAAAGAAAAGGTATTAGGCGTCGATGAAATAACCAACACCCGCTACAAACTTAATTTGAGTATATTCTTTTTCAATTTAAAATTTTTATAGTATATATGATAGATTATATTGTTTAGATGTTAATTTTTCTTTTAATTTACTCTAAATTTTTTTTTCTTTTAAACAATTAAAGAAAATTAAAATATTGTGTTTTTGTTGTGTTTAATTATTAATTTCAAATGAACTAAAATCCGATTTTCTTGTTTAATTGAAATTATTTAAAAATTAATATCTTAACTACGCAAAAGAATTATTATAAAGGTAAATAAATAGAACTATAATATATAGTTGTTTTTAAATAAATAAACTGTACGATAATCATTTATTACAGTATTTTCTCATATAAATTAAACACATTTGATGATATATGAACAAGAACAAACGAATGATACAACAGCTAATATAATAAAAATGCAAATGATGATGAATTTGCAAAATTGATTCATTTGAATATTAAGAAAAGAGTTCATTTATATAGAGTTTTGTTTTTTTAGAACAACGATAATCAATAACGATAAAAAATGTATTATTCATTCTTTTTAATGTATATTTTTTAATATTTATGAAAAGTTTCAATTTAATATAAAAACTAATATCAATATTATTAAATTATAACAAAAAAATAACATGGAATTATTGAGTGGGTTTTCGTTATTTCTTATAATTAATGTCTGTTTGTAAATTTTAAAAAAAGTAACACATGTTTTTTTTGTTCAAAAAAAAGTTTTAATTTAATAACTTAAATGTTAAAAAATATAAAAATCTTCTTTTAATTAATTACCTTTAGAATTAAAAATTTTAATGAAAACATACAAATAACAAATTAAATCATCATTTGTTATTTGATAATAATCTTTTATTTTTTAATTCAAAACAAGTGTTTATTGCGTTGTTGACTTTTCATAATAATTTGGTAATATCTAAATCTATTTAAACAATATTTTTTTCAAGATTTTTTGACGGTTTTAAATGTAAATTTACAAATTCAAATATATTAATTATATTCCTATAAATTGATATGTTTAACTCTTGTTATGTCATTAAATGTTTTTTTTATTTAACCCTTCAAAACGAATTATTGTTTAAGTAAACTCACATCCTCTCCCACCTTTTCTGGACTTTTCTCGTTGCCCACGTACCCAGGAATTGGTGAAGGACTCATACTTATATCATTTTCAGCTTGATTTTGTTCCTCCTTTTGGTTCTCGTCGTTATCCTCAGATGTTGGTGAAGAATTCAATGGTTCCACATCTTCGCTAACTTCATATTTGAACCAAGGCAATTTGATTACTTTTGTATACAAAAGAATACCAACAGTCAACACGATAAATCCAAAGACCTCCAAAAGAGTGAACCACCCGACCTTTTCTCCAATCGCCTCATCAACGACATAATACAAGAACACAGAACAAATCCACGTCGTTATCATTCTCAACGGGTCTAATACGTTCCTGACCATCGCATTGACCCAATCGGTGATGATCATACCGACTATATTAAAAACGAGTATAGAAAAGACGTAACCAATTGTAATAAGAATGAGTGGCACAGAGTTTGCCAACATAATAAAAGTGTCTTTGGTATCTTCTTTTAATGAGTCGGGCCAAAAGGAGAGACTCATTATTGGCATCATTATGGAACAAATAACCAATCCATATATCCCCTCGAGTCCAACTATAAACTCCACTGGCGCCTTGATATCATGAAGAAATTGCTCTTCTAAAATGGTTTGGAAGCCCTGCAAAAATTGTGCAATTAAAACCAGTGTAATTCCTATTAAAGTGTAATACCAAGACGTAGAAGAAGAGTCTTCACTGGATGTACTCCCATGTTGGACATCCTCTTGTGCTCCTGGAAGAAAGGCAGCCGATCCAATTAATATTAAAGAAATTACGATGATAACTACACCAATGATTTCATAGAGGTGCATTTTCTGTTTTCTGTAAAAGACCGCTAAAATTGCAGTGAAGACTAAGATGCTCCCTCGCATCATCTGAAAGACACTCGACGACACAAAGAGAAGTCCAAAATTCATTAAGTAAGTCGCAGCAAAGTCACAGAAAGAAGGAATTAAAACGAGTAAATATCCTTTTAGTTTCATCACTTCTCTTGTTGGCATTTTCTTTGTAAATAGAGGAAGAAGATAATATTTCATTACATAAGGAATTAAACATAAAGTCATTCCAAGGAACATTGCCCAATTCAAAAATAGGGGTTTTTCAAAATAATGAACATTTCCACCTGATCCTTCGGCTTGTAGTTGATAAGAAGTTTTTGATAAAATGGTGTTGGCTGTTCCAGTGACTAAAAAGACAGTGACTATAATGGTCATCATCATGTATTTCTCAACAAATAAACGCCAGAGAGATAAAAACGAAGACAAGAAGGTCATTCTATTGAATTAAATTAATTAATTTTAAGTTTTTCTGAACAAGTGGTAAAAAGAATTTTTGAGGGTAAATAAAAAGTTGTGATGGTTTTTTTTTAATAATAAAAATAGAAACAGAATAGTTTGGAAATAATTCGATTTTCTAAACTTCGTTTTGTATATTTTTTTTATCCAAAAATTGAATTGGTTTTTGTATTATTTTTTTATTTGTCAATTTTTTTTAATGTATTAATAATGAATTATTAAATATATTATAATAATAAATTAAATTATACTATTTACTTTATTGAATTATTTTAAAAACACATAAAGTTCAAAATCTAATATGTGCTTTAATAAAATTGTGTTTATTGTAAACAAAAGTTAAAAAATCAAATAGTTACAACGTTCTTAACGATTTTAAAACTTAAGTTTTAGTCACTTACAACTCTTTATTATATGATTGTGTTATATATAATATTTAACAAAATAATATTTATTTATTTGAAAATAAAAGTATTCACCACGAAAGAAAAAAGCATCCTAAAAGTATAGATAGTCTTTTGAACTAAGAATCAATTTAAAACAAAATATGGAAAATAAATAGGCAGTATTTAATTATAGTTCATTGTAGTTTATTATAGTTTTCATGTGTTTTTTAATTTTTAACAATGCTTAGGAATAATTTTAAATAATTTTTAACAACCAATTTTATAGTTTGCGAGTCACTTTTTTAAGTATCTGTAGACTTGAAAAAAAAACGATAGAACTAGTGTTAAAAAAACAATAGTTAAATAACTATAATTACTAATAACATAATTAATCAATGAACAAATGAGATTATAAATTGATTTTATTAATCAAAAAACACTGTTATTAAAGACTATTTCCCAGATGTGCAGCTTACAGAAATGGCTGCAAAACAATGAGTGATACAAAAATCGAAAAC